GAAGATATTTTTTAGCATAATTGTTTTTATTTATTATTTTTAATAGATTTGCACTAAAAACACTAAAACAGTTTGGTTTTGGAAATAATTCAATGGAAAATGTACTGCAACACGATGCAATTACATTAACAAATATTATTATTCAATTAACAGAAAAGGGAACAATTACAAATATTCGATCCATCATTTCAGCAGCTGTTTTGTGCAATTTGTGGCTTCTCATAGATGGTACAAAGTATGTGATTGGGATAAAATAGAAAGATTTTATTAGTTCATTGTAGTATTTGTTATTAAATTACATGTTTAAATATTCAGATACGATGTAGGAACGGAAAGTACAAATTTAAAGGAAGCAATACATATATTAAAAGATCTTGTTAGAAATGCGAATGTTTCTGGTGGAATTTTAAACCAATTCCCCTTTCTCAGATACATATTTCCAAATTTAACAGGATATTCGATGTTTGTAGAACGGCAAAATCGTATAAATAATTTTTTTATGGTAAGACGCTATGAAATTTACATATTAATTTGTTTTCTTTTTTTATAATAACATCACTAATTTTTCATTTTCAAATAATGATGAACCAAATATAAATATTATTACTGATTATAAATACTAATACCTAAACTGTTTTTTTTTCTTTACGAAGTTTCATTTCTCTTTTTAATAAAAATTCATCAGCATATAAATAGATATAAATATGGAGAAAACATTCTACAGTCTATATATATGTAGATCATTTAAAGTTTTAATACTTTTAATATGCAATTATTCTAATTATAAATGACTATATATTAATTACAGTTAATTATGTTGTAATCAATTATCATAAAAATCGTAAATATTATCTGTATGATGAGTTAATACAAAAAAATTATTTCGAGAATGGAACAAAATAGTAATAAATTTTATAGAGTAATAAATTAAATCATTATTACTCTTACGTTTATTGATTTTGAAATGATATCCATTTTCAAAAAGGATATTAATTGTAAATATTGTATATAGATTTTAAATCTATTTTTAAATATTGTAATATTTAAATGTTATTATTTTGTATATTGTGTATATTTTAAATATTGTAATATTTAAATATTATAATATTTAAATGTTATAATTATTGTAAATATTGTATATAGATTTTAAATCTATTTTTGTATTACTATTTTTATTTTGTATTTATTATTTTATATATCATAATAATCATTGTCCATACAGAATGCTATGGGTATAATATCTTCATCATATGCATATGTATCTTCATAAACTTTTGTAGATAGAGAATTTTTGATAATTCTCAGAATCACTTTTATTTTCTTAAACAGCATATTAATTCTTTTTAATTCTCTCTTTTAATAGCAAATATTTGGACTTAGATGATTTCAGTGATTTATAATACAATATAATACGATTAAATATTAGACTAAAAAATAAAACAAAGAGTTTTACATTACATAATGTACATGACTCTTCTAATCTAATTAATTAATTTGATGACGTACATTTTTTATCTTTTTTAGATTGATTATAGCATATATTATATTAATAGTTAATTTTCTTCGGCTATATAAAATTGTATGTATCAATAGTTACTTTTCTGTAGGTATACAATATTTTTGGAAGTTGCACAAAGAAAAAATTAATAAGTAATGAATTTAAAATCTTAGTGAAACATTGTTTATTAAAAAGTTATCTGTTTATATATATTGATATTATAATTACCCGCAATTGAAATGTAAAATTGGTATTAAAATATATCAGGAAATTAAAAATAGAATAGCAAAATATATTAATACGATAAAATACAGATTTTTATTTAAAATATATATTTTATAAAAAAATGCAAATTAGTCATTTTAATCATTCTGATAGTTCTAGTGCTAAGACCCTCTCATACAACCTATTGCAAATAATAGACAGGGAAAGTTATCAGATTTTCTTACTGTGATATTTAATTCTGTTCTTACTTTTTTTTTATAATTAATTTCAGGAGGTAATATCAAAACATAAACGAGATAAAATAAATGGAGAATGTGCAAATTTTATAGATGTTTATTTACAACAAATAGAAGCACAGAAGATGAATTCATCTCACTCTTTCTTTAATGGTAATTATTTTATCTAGATTAATTAATTGTAAGTTATCAATAAACAAATACAATGATATTTCTTTATTGTAATGTAATCAATGTCAAAGTGAATAAATAATCCAATAGATAAATATTCTGAGACATTATTGATTACAAATTATAATTCTCTGTGAACTGTTATTAATTTTAAAATATAAAAATAATATCTTTATATAATATTTAATATATATAATATTCAGTTGCGATTTTATGAATGAATGATATTATTCGGGTAATTAATTCTTTTTGTAACAAATTTTTAAAATTTAAAATTTTAGAATGGAGTTTAATATTTACACACGCTAAAATAAAACATTATGTAAAATAAATATCAGTCTTATATGCCTATATAAATTGATTTATTTTAATCTACTTAATTTAGAATCTAATTTCTGCACATCAGGGTTGCGCACATCTTTATTTAAACAAAGATGAACAGTTTGAGATAATTATTACCACCAATATAATTTATTATTTTTATTTGAAATTTATACAATAGAATTAGAAAGTATTTGAAAATTGTTTAAGCAAATAAATATAAAATACAAAATGAAATAGGAAATTATTTATTTTATTTGATAGGCAAATAAGAGAAATTATTTGCTTGTTAAAATAAATTAATGTAGAATTATTTCAAGATAACATTGAGTCAAATAAAGTGATATATAATAATCATTTTTCAAATATTTTATTTAAATAATATAATAATTTTATTGTGTTTTTGATTGAAATAATTCCCATTTATTTTTATAATTTTATAATATACTTCTAATTATCAAGGATGTGCCAAGTTAAAGCCCTACGAAATTACTAATGAACAAAAAATAATTAAATTTTATCAGACATTAGTGAATCGTAATTGATCACATTACAAAAATTACAAAAATATTACAAAATAGTATTATTACAAAATAGTACAGAATCGTAATTGATCACATTACAAAAATTACAAAAATATTACAAAAGGATTACAAAAATATAAAATTAAAAACAAAAGCGAATAATTTTATTATTAAAAATTATTGAATATCATTAAAATATAAGTATATTTTTTTAGCAAATGAAATTTTACTTACATCATTAAAATAAAATAAAATTGTCATGAAATTTTATATTTATTCCAGAAGTTGTGTATCTTTAATGAAATTTTTTCTTTTACAGAAAATCAGTTATTATATGTAATAAAAGACTTATTTAGTGCTGGTGTTGATACTACTGATAATACTATCGGTTTTGTAATAGCATTTCTCGTAGTTTATCAAGATGTACAAGCTAAAGTGTATGATGAAATCAATAGAGTGATAGGCAAAGATGCATATCCCTCTCTTAGTGATAAAGATAGGTAAGCTGTTCTTAAATATTATAATAAAGATCTTTTCAAAATATCTTGTTACGACAAATTATAAGTAATTGTAATGGAAATGCTCGTTCATAATATTCAAATATAGAATAAGTTAAATAATAGTTTTATATTTTTGTTCTTTCACATTTTTCAATTAATATATTTATTTATATCCAAGTATACTGTCGTAAGCTTTTACTTTGAATTTGAATCATTAATAAATTAAATCAAATAAATATCTACAATGGATTTTTTTAATTTTATTAAATAGATAATTCTTTAAAGTACTATTTTTTAAACATTAACATTATTAATAGATAATTTTTTAAAGTACTTTTTTTTAAACATTAACATTATTACAAATTATGTTATAGCTCAGTTTCATATAAACTATAACATTTTTGTAATATTGATAAAATCTTGTAATACTGATGAACAATATTGATAAAATGAATTAACGTTAATTTAATGAATGACAACTTGAGATCAAAACGATACACTTTAATTCAATCTCACTGCAAATACGCACACGCTTTTGTCATGAAAAGACCTTTAAGGAAGTGAATAGAAACAAAAGAAGACTAAAATAGTGTGTCTTTTGTGGAGGACACATACGCAATAAATTCGAAAGTGCATACTCTCTAACAAATATGAGTTAATAAATAGGTATTTCAAGTTACTTTTAATCTTGCTATGTTTTTCCAGTTATTTTCAACCCATCTATATTCCCCTATATTCTTCTCAAATTTAAATATGAAGAAATTCTTATTTGTATGGATTATTCTTCAATTAAGTTTTTTGTTAAACATCTTCTAAAAATATTATAAATCCTTTTTATCTGTTTAAACTGAATATAAGATCGAAATATAAAAATTTGAAGATCGTGACAGAGTAGTAGACAAATATCCAAGAAAAAGAACTTGAGAATAATTATCTTCATAATAATAAAAATATTTAAAATCCACTAAAATTAAGATATTCTCTTTTACAATAATCGTTTGCAGATTACCATATTTAAAAGCAGTTTTGGCAGAAGTATCAAGACTAGCCAATATTGGTCCAACTTCCATTCCGCACCGAGCAATAATGGATTCCAATTTGCTAGGTTTTGAAATAAAAAAAAATTATACTTTGTTAGCTAATCTGAAGAGTGTTCACATGGACAAAGAGCATTGGGGAGATCCGGAAGTATTTCGACCAGAAAGATTTATCGATGAGAATGGAGAATTTATTAATGATTCTTGGCTTATACCTTTTGGTTTAGGTAAGAAAGACTAATTGTTTGGTACATGATTCTTATTTGTATCTTGATATAATTGAAATATTAAGATATTTTGATGATATTATATTTTATCTTATTCTAAATGATATTTAAACATTGTAAATTAATGTTGCAAAAAATGAGTCCTGAGCCTCGAGCTTCGGAAGTTAGAACCGCGATTCAAGTTTTAAAGAGCTCTCTTTGAACCTTGAATTGCAAAAGCTTAAGTTCTTTAACTCTCGAACTCTTAAACTCGGAGATTCGAGCTGTCTGGATTGTATACAATAATGATTGCAAACAGTATTATAGATTGTGAAATGTCACGTGTGATACTTAAGAAATTCGAGAGCTAGGTCTTAAAGCTTTAGTCTTAAAACTTCGAAAACTTAAGCTTTGCATGATAATAGTCTTAAAACCTTAGCCTTTGAAGTTGAGTCTTGAAGTTTCGAAGACTCGAGCTTTATACAATGTTTATATTCAAAATATTTTAATTAGTATTGAAGAGAAACTTTTTTTCTTTATATAAACTTAATGGTTTTAATTAGAACTAACAACAAGTAAATACAAATGATAAAACTGATATTTAGGGGAAATAAGTCCGATAACGTCGACCTTCACATATATTGTCAAGGGCACTGTTTTGATTAACGATAAAATAGATTAGATTAATTAGAAGGATATGTGTTGAAGTTTTAAACAAATTTTTCATTCAATAATAATGAAGTATTCTTACATCATAATTCTCTTAATTTCTTTAGATAATTTATCGATTAACGATTTATCGCTTTAAATGACTTTTTTTCATTCATACATGTATTATTTCTACGTACATATTGGATGTTTATATTTTTCAATACTCAAAATAACTGCTATATTTTTTAAATATTTTTTTGTCAATAACTTTGTAATAAAAGAAAAAGAAATGATGACTAAAATCTCTTGGAAGTTACTCCAAGAATATACTTGACAATATATGTGAAAGACTGATTGTGAGAATTATAGTACTGTAATTCCAAATTTTTATAATTTAAATTAATAATGTTTTCTAATAAGTGTTGAAGGCTTTATGTGTTTAGTTTCATGACCAACTATTATAACTTCATTTATTATTGAGAAATGATTTCACTTTAGCAATTAAGAAAGCAATAATAGTAAATACAACATAATAATTTTACAAGAAATATCATAAAAGTGACTTACGTTATTATGATTCTCAGTCCTTCATATATTAAAGTTGGACCATATATTTAAATCATAATCAAATCATTCTTTCTTGTGATATAAAAAATTTATTATATTTATTTTTTTGATAGGTCGCAGAAAATGTTTGGGTGAAACTTTAGCGAAAAATACAGTTTTTCTTTTTGTGGTATGCTTAATGCAAAAGCTTCATTTCCTGTTGCCATCAAATCATCCAATGCCTTGTCTGCAAGGTGTTGATGGATTTGTAATTGCACCACCTGTGATGGATATTATTGCTGTTCAAAGATAATGATTAATATAATAGAAGAAAAGATTAAATTATATATAATTAGAAAAATTATTTGTCAGAATAATTATCAAAATTATTGAACTATAAATTATATTGATAATATGATAAGAAAAAAGTTAAGATAGAATTATTATTCAGGAGATCCGCATCCAATAATCTTGATCTTAGGATATCACAACTTTGCAGAAAAACTAACGCAACACAAAAAACATGATTTTCGAGGTATTAGAATAAAAGTTACAGAAATCTTTGACTAATTATGAAAATTTTATTCATTGATTTTCTTAATTTGAATTTTATCTTGATTATCATTGTGAATAAATGCATGTTACATGCATACATTGATAACATGAGAACTGCATGACTTTGAATTGTTTTTTTTTTTTTT